CTGTCTTCGTTTCTCTTTTATTTCATCCGACAAGTTAAATTGCTTAACTTGATACATAAGCTTCGATTGATATTTTTATTTATATCAACTTTTGTATTTGTTTCGAAAACTAGAATCGAATTTTAGGTTCCGTATTTTCACTATACGACATTCGATTCACTCGAAGGCGGTAATAGGAATAGAAGGAGGGGCAAACGTATGTATCACCTGTTTATCGATATTTCATTGCTCCGTCGGTAATTGATCGATTCGTCACTCTCAGATGGCGACATCATTATCTCATATTTTATTCCAGCTATAAAAAGACGATTATCGACTTTCTTCGAACACGAGCAATTCATAAATCACGGCAACTTTAACCGTTTTTAACCTATTTAAGAGGAAAAATTGTAAAATCCAGAAAGATACGTGCGATCGAGCAATGTTTTCGTAAAAGTAATATTAAATTCGATTACAATTTTCCGTCAAATATTCATATATTAATGAAAATACGAATGATTAACGTATTTGAACAGAAAAGTCGAACAACGGTATCAAAATGAATTTTAATGAAAGTTTGCTTTCGTGAAAAATTGAAATTTGGATTAATTTTTTATCGAGATTGCCCAATGAGTGAAATGCACAAATATGCATGACGCATCACTCGAAAATCCTGCATAATTGTTTACATATCTCACATATTGATTTTCCTCTTTTCAAGAAAAATTAAAATTACGCGAATACTGTTCAATTAAAATTTCAAATGAAGTCGTAATTAAATCAATCTACATTTATTGATTTGTTATTTTCTTATTTCTCTATTTTTAAATTTACAAAATTTTTACCTCATATCTTTACAACATTTTTTGTTAATCAAACGTACGCGTCATTTTCCTTTCAATTTTGTATTTCGTATTTTAATTTTAACGTTTAATAGCTCCAATCATGTCGATTGATGCGAATTTTCGGTATCGCGTATATGAAATAACACGCAATATTATTCAATGTGATTGAATTCGATTGTATCTTTAAGTACGGTGTACGTATTTATCTTTTAAACAATCACGTTGAATACGCCGCGTTCAATAAATGTCGGTACGAAGTTGAGTTCTATTTATATAGAATTATAGAATATAAATTTTCATCTTTGTGACTCCGATTCCCAGTTTCATCTATAATATTATATACTTTTAATATTCGACGAAATTCAAATACATACATGTTATTACGACAAATGTATTCTCTCGTCTTATAAATTGAAAGCAAATATTGATATTAATACGGAATATTTATAATACATTTCCTGATATCGATCTATATATATTTTAACATGTTCCATTAACTTTAATTTTATTTCAATTACCGTATAGACGAATCCATCGTATTCTTCTAATAATAAACCATATAAGTTCAATATATCTTTCTAAAAATTAAAGAAAATCCATAATTCTCTTATACGAGAAAAGAAAACACGAATATTGATACATAAACTCCAATTTTATTATTTTCTTTTTTATAAAGCTAAGTTAGATGTTTGTTATAAAAATCACGAGAGGTCTACTTACCAACAGAAGGCAATAATACTTTTTCTCTTATGGCATAATACGAATAATTCGAAAAATAAATTTCTCTAATAAAACTAGATAAATAAATTTACTATATAATAAGCAGTTTCATTTTGTTATAACATTTTGTTTAACCTTTCTCATCGTACCTCGTTCGAAAAAAATCAATCGATAAATTTTAAGATACAAACGAATGTTGCACACACTCATACGCGCATATATCTTTTAATCGATATTCCAGCGAGTTCGCGGAAGCAATTTCTTTCGCATTATTCCCCTCAAGGAAGACTCAATTACACGGTGTAACGAGGTAACAGCGTAAAACCAACTTAGTTGACATTAGGATAACGTACAATTGTATGGGAAACAGCCCACTTGGGGAATGAGACACGACATGGCCAGGTCGCCGGAATAAACTGCTAATCTAAGACAAAGGATTGGAACACTTTAGCCGTCTAACGATAAAGTATCAGACGTTATCGAGTCGGAAGGATTTTCGATGGAAAAAGCAGGATGCGAGAGGAAGAGGTACAATAGAACTTTCATTATCCGAACTAATAGAGAAACAGACCTTTCGGATAAGGGAATTATTGGATTAATGGAACGCGGAATTTTCTTATCTCGAGGAAAATAATATTACACAACGAGGTTGATAATGATACAAAAATTCTTGTTATAAAATTTTTTAATCCAAATTCCACAAGCTTTGGAAATAATCCTTCGTTTCACTCTTCTTTTAAATAATTGCGGATTTAGTAATCTTCAATTTTCTTACGTTAATTCGAAATTAAATTTTCATTGCTGTGATCCGAATAATTACGTTTGCCTTTAAATAAATCTCCCTTTTCGATTAAACGTATTAATAGATTCTTTTTTATTTTTTTTATTATTTTGTGGGATTACTGCTTTGACACGATTTCTCGCTTCGTAATAATAATTAACCTCTTCGCCGAGATAGAATTAATACTGTTCTCGAAGCCATAGTTTGCCTTCTCTCTTTAATTAAAAAATACATCGAGGCAGGCAATCCTGTGAAATATCACTAAAGGTTCATCTGTTCACGTTTTGCAAATTGTAATTAACGAGACGAAGAAGCGGAAGACGAAGAAGGGTGAATTAAGTTAGCTTTTCTTCGCTTCAAAGATTTTCGTTTTATCTTTGCCGGTGTTATGTAAGATCGGCGTTATATAATTAAATTAATTTATTCGTAAAAGGAATATAATATCTCGGGACGAAATTCAAAACTTGACGAAATAATTTACTTGTGTTGCTGATACAAGTGCTTCTTAGAAGCACAAACAAAGGGATGAAAAGAGTTTGATATAAAAATTTTAAATTCAATTAACAAAAATGACATTTAATAATATGGATGCGCAATAGATGTGTGGATAATGTAAATAACTTTTCGATATCCTAAAATCGAATTTTTCTTATCGCTTAATTTCGTTTCTTCACGCGAGTGTCGCTAGTTTATTCAGCCAACTTCGTTCTATGAAACATTTTAATTAAAAATGAATTTTTTGATACATTTATAATACGTTTGTCATATTGGTAAATTAATATATATTGCTAACATAAAAAATTAAATATAATATTTAACAACTATATTACGCAAAAACATAATCGAAATCATTTGATCACAAAGCAAAATTAATACAAATAACAATATTTATATTAATTTTTATTCTTTTACAAATATAAAATTAAAAATAATTTAAAATAGAAAACATCTTAATAAATATTCTCAATAAATAAAATATATATATTATAATTCAGCGTACTTCAAGCGTATTATTATCATATATTTTAAGAGTTGATATGACATTTTATTTATAAGAAAAATTCGTTCGATTCTGTGCACTTGTGTTTTTTGTATATGATAACAAAGATATGAAACCAAAAGGAGCATTTTCGGCATATTTTACTTCTCTATTACCGAAAAGGTAAGAAATGTCAAAACTAGTTTTCAAAATTTCGTTCCAACAATTTCGACATTAAAGATATGCTTTTTTTTCTTTACATAAATAAAATCATTCGATAAACTTTAAATTTGTGTTATATTTTAACACATTACAATAGCCCCCAAACCACTCGATTCATCGAATTAATAAAAAAGAAAAAACTCGAATTTAAAAAAGAGATACAAAATATCTCGATCTTAAAACTTGGTCGAAACACGACGTGCCATTTTCAACGCATTTCGAAGATTTAATCGCGCGGCTCAAAATCGAGCAAAAACGAGGTTTATCTCTCCTCCCTTCCTTCGATAAGAATTCGATATCGATTCGAGGCACAAACGCAACGGCGGGTGAGAAACGGAAAAGGTGCAACAAGGGGTTGAAGGAAAAGGAAAACGTAACAACGTGTGTGGAGGAGAAAGAATGGAATTACACGAGAGGTTTCACGATGTCTCGGGGCACAAGCGTGTCGTCCCTGTTCACAAGCATCCTCCTCCCCTCCCCCTACTATCCACGGCGCAATGTACACCAGCGTGTATCCACGCGGAGCGAGTTTATGCAGCGCAGCTGACTACGATATCCGCGTCTTTCCGTAACGCAAGCACACGAGAACGTTTATGCATACGCCGCCATTATCGTATATCCTGCGCGTATCCCCTCCTCCCCTCGAAGTCGTCCTTCTAATATACTTCCGTGTAAATCTAATTACGCGCTCGTTAGCAATGCGTAGGCTAAAATCACCCTTTTGTTCTCGTATGGCATTCGTCTTCTCGTTGTTGTCGCTCGTAAACTCGTCGATTTTCTGAATATCTCTCGTATTGGTTATCGAACAGAAGGGAAAAATGATTTTTCTTTATATAGATGGAAGTAATTTAGAGAGTTTGCAGGATTAAGAGGATTTTGTTATTATTTTATTTTACTAACTGTTCTTTGTAGTTTTTGTATGTTTTATTTGAACACAACTTTGTTTTCAATTGTGAATTTCATCTGATTCGATTGTAAAATGCATTAAAAGAAATTAGAAGACAGTTTGAACATTGATGGTGAAAGATAATAAAATATTTGTGAAAAAGAATTTACATAAGAATTTTCAACTTTATAACATAACATGTTAATCGTAAGGATAATTCTGGAAGATTTAAATAATATGTTGCTTTTCATCGAATCGAATAAAATTTTGTAATTGCAATCAGGTTTTTAACGTATTTTTAATTTTTTCTCTTTTCTCGACTACGTTTCCAATTCTGATACGAAATTTCGTTTATTTTACTTATTTCTACTCTGTTTCGCTCTGTTCCTTTGTTCCAGTTTATCGTGGAAAAATATCAAAACAAAAATCGAAATATATTATCTTTCGTTTAGCGAAAGAAGAAGTTTCGATTACATTTTTAACTCGATATTTTTTCGTATTTAACGAATCACAGTGAAAATACAAGGTTTCATAAAACTTCCGTATCAAATTATTCGAAGCCTACCATGTTTTATAACGAATGGAACGTAATTGGAACGTAAATTTTTTCGTGGCCACGAATATTCATCAACGCGAACCATTAACGTTCGAGAAATTTTTCTACGAATATATACTCGAAATATATTCCCCTGTATAAATCCCCGTCCTCTGTTGAAACAGGCATAAAGATTGTAATTATGTAACGCTCTCCGTTCAACTTTTGTCAGGGGATAAGTCTCCCGCGTTGCGTGCCAACGGCGTTAAAAGATTATACTTCTAATTTCAAAGTCCGACAACCAAGTACCGGAACTATATAGCGACCAACTGTTTCAGACCGTGGTAAAAGCCCTCCTCCTCCTCTTCCCCCTCTCCACCCTGCCCCCACTTCGATCGTCCCCCACTTAAAACCGCATACATCAGAAGGCAAATTAACCGTTATTTACGCCGACCGAATTTGAAAATGAAACGAGCAAAGGCTATAATTTTTAATTGTCCTGCATTGGTATTCCCGGATAATTGCTCTTTTCATTGCTATGAACCGACGTAACATTTTTTTTTATCGATGTTTAATTGAAATTGAAGGATGAATAAATGTTTGTAATTAAATGCACACGGTGTCTATAAACCGAATGAATTTTTAACGCTAATATTATTAAATCGATAAAAGTATAAACGGATCTCGAGTCTCTTTTCTTTTCTAGATTTGGAACTGCTGTTATGTCACTTTGGTAATAGTTTGAATTTATTTATAGTGTATATTTAAGAACGTGTTTCAATATTAAAAAAATCGAATAAAATTTTATCTATATATATTTTAATATATCATTTTTGAAATTGCGGATCAATCCTAGGAATATTTTTATGATAATTATAAATTATTCCAGTTTTTATTTTATACATTTGTTGTCCAAATGTTAATATTACTTTTCAATCAATATATCACGTTTAAATTAAATAGAGTATGAGGAATTAAAATCATTTTTTAGGTTATGTTCTTCCATGAAATCAAATGTTATAAATTTATTATTTGCTATTTCTTATATCGATGATGATAATTGTTTCATGGATTCAAAAAAATAAATTTTTCAAGTAATAATGCAACATTAAATTAATTTTTTGAAATCGTTTCAATTCATTATTACTTCTTTTAATTCACTAATGTAATATTATGTTTAGCTTGGTTAAACATAAGAATATTATCCATGTATGCAATAACGTCAACATTACTTAGAAGTTTAAGAATTTAAATGCTTTTTTGGCTTAAGTAAAACATATCAAAATATGTAACAAATATTCAAGAAATATATAAGTATGCTGGATATGCAAAGATAGTATGATTTATATTGTTATTTTTACTTGTTATAATTCGAATTACAATAAATTCTACATAGCAACACCTTTCGAAATTTCTGCAATTTTTTAGCATTAAAATTTGCATTTCTCCCTATTTGTATCTTTGTAGAAATTTTTCTTCCACTATATAGAGTTTCTAAGTTCTCAATAGTTTGATTAATTAGTTTCACAGATTACCCACAATTCTATTACCTCCAATTTTTTTCACGATGAATGACAGTGTTTAATGGAAACTGAACGTTAAATCTGGCATAACCTGTTCATTTCGGTACACTTTTTGTGCAAATTTAATCGATGTTGCATCTTCTTCATTGACACTTTCAATTACCTCTTTGATATTGTTAAAAAAGCACAAAATAATGTTGCCTCTAACCATGTCGCCCATCTTGTTATAATAAGTTCAGCCGGTAATTGAATATTTTCTCCCCTGACGCAGTATATCATATACGCAGTAGAGCTTTCAAAAAAACAACTTTCTTAATTCGAAAATGTCAGTTTATTGATAATTTAATTTAGAATCATTTAAATTTATCTTGATAGCATAAATGAAAGTGATCGAGTAAACGAATCGTTAAAATTTCTATTTTTTCGAAAATTGATTGCGAGATGTTGGGGACTTCAACGATTCCCTCCCCTCCTCCAAAAGAAAATAAATGAAAAAATAAATTGAAAATATAAAATAAAATTTTTTCATACTAGGCTTCGTTTTTGAGTAAATTAAGTTTGAAAAATTTCAAATATAATTGAAATTGGCTATTTTTTAAATAGCAAATACGAAAATAAACAAAATTTTATTTCTTATGTTCTTTTATTTTTAGGAGAAAATTAAAATTGAACGTATACATTAAAGCGTATTTTTAAAAATCAATTTTTAAAAATTAATTTTCAAAAAATGAAAAAAAAATTATTTTATATTTTATTTTTACATATAGACTAACCACCTATCGCTCAATCTATAGTTCAATCTAGAATCTAATCAAAAAATTGCCAATTTTATTTTGCAAATTTATTTTACTCGAGCCTTAAACGGAAAAATTTTATTCAATATTTTCAATTTATTTTTTTCCATATCATCTGTTATTTAATTGTATCACCAGTATTTGTCTCACTTCAACATATAATTAAATTTAAATAAATAAGCCTCAATCTATATTTTTCAAATAAATTTTGATTTTTAGAATCAAAAAGTGTCGTGCAAATATAATTGCTATATACATTCCATCCATTTTTATAAAACTGAAATAATATATAGAGACAAGAGATAAAAATAACTCTTAAAACCAAAGACAATAAGACAGAAAAGAAATCAAAGAATCTTCGAAAAAAATATTTCCCAAAAAATTGACGAACGAAATAGAGAAATTTCAAAGAGAAAGGAAAAAATCAAAATGAAAATATTAAATTGTCAAGACAGAAATATTTCACGTTCGTTAATACATATTAATCATTAAAAATTGAGACAAAAGAGAATTCTTTTTAATATGTATTTTATTAATACCAAATAATCCGAATTCAAACTTTTCTACCATTTTCTTTTCTAATTTCTCGAACAACGAATATTATGGATTCCTATTACGCGCTTTTATATCCGAATTCTGCTTATACGTATACGCAAAACGAGGTTCACGTACTCGCAATATTTTATATTCGCATTGCACAGTCTCTGACATCGTGGCACAGTGAGCAAAGCAGGAGGGGGAGGGGGTGAGATTGAATAAACACGCGATGCAAAAGTTCAAGAATCTCGTGCAATTTTGAAATAGAAGAGGGAAAGGAGAGGAGATAAAAGAGGGATGAAAAATGAGGAGAGAAAAGAGGAAAAGAGGACGTCGCGCGTGGCACGTCGTCGATACGTATCATTTAGATATACTACTGTGCTCTCACCCAGTCAGCCCGCTTATCTTCCATCTCTTCCAAGTTTAATCCTCCTGCAACATTTTTCCTAACTTTTAGTTACCGACCGAGCTATCCCAGTTTCACGAGGTAAATCGACGCCACGCATCCGTGCAAAAGTTGGAAAATTATTTTTTTTTTTTTTTTTCTGAAAATTGAAACGTAACTTTTATCGAATTGGCTAACAATGGAGGAGAAAGATCTGCATTTATCCCTCCAGGCTATAAAATAGAACGGCGTTTAAGCCGATTAAGTTTGAACTCGAGCCGAAGTCGAACTTGAGAAACGTGTGGATTATTTTCGTTCGATTTGATAAAAAGTTTTAATATTATTTTTAAATAGCAGAATTCAATGCTTACTTATTAAAGTATCGAATTAGAAATTAATAAAATACAATTTCTTCTTTACACAATGCTCTTCTTTCCATAAAATATTTCATAAATTTCGATACTCTTATTTTGAAATGTACAATAAATATTTTAGCGCGAATCGATCCTAGTGGTTAGTTCGATATCGTTAGTTCTTCGTGCAAACAAATTGTTAAACTATAGACAATACCCCCTCGCGAATACGAGGTGTATTCAACATTATGCACATTGCGTACAATTTACGACGTGTGACCAATTTAAAGTCAATGCAATTAATGTGGCAGATTCGCGATTAAATTAATAACGAAATTACGATCCAAGCGCATTGTGTATTCGGGTTAAAATCCTTGTACCACGTTCGTCGAATAACCGATCGAGGGAATCGAATCGAATTCACGAATCTTTCGAAAAAGACTTTTCACTCTTTCATTTCACAAGGGAAGTTTTTTTCCTGTCTATAATATATATTCATTGGACGTTTGGAGGATCGTTATTTTATTTAATAATTTTCCAAGAATATCATCCCACAGATTTTATTAACACTCTGTGCATCTGCAACGATACGAAATTGGAATTTCTTCTATCTGTATTTCTTTTACCAATTGAAAGAATAAAAGAGAAAAAGTCCCTGCTTCTGTCTAAAATTAAGAAAAACTCGTTAAACATTCCAAAGAATCACTCCTTTTAGATTGCTACTGCCTGTGTTTGTTCGAGGCCTAACGAGAGAGAACAATTTTTTTGTTTACTTCCAATTTAGTAAAGGTATATAGCGATAAAAATGACTTGTTGCAAAGCATTTCTGATATTCCAATTAAAAGAATCAAAGTTCACTGTATAAAATTGAATATGTGAATAAATTCGAAATTAACAAAATTCGAATTAAAGATATTTAACAAAAAATTCTTTTAGGTAAAAATTTGAATAGTTCAAGATTAATTCCACGTTCGAAGCACAATAACTGACCAACCAAGTCTAGGAAAAATCACTTGCAAGAAATACATGTAACAGTAAAGATTTTCTGAATAAATATTCTCAAAAATTTGCTCACGTAGAAGAACTCGGAGATTCTAGTAAAGCAAATTCACTTCAATATAAAAAGGTTATCAAACTGTAAATTTGTCTTCGAAATGGAATTCGGAAAATTAAATCTCGGAAAATCTCGGAATCGAGAGCGATTTCGCCCGAATCTCGATTGTTCAGGTTTGGAACATTATCTTGGCGCTGATTAAACGCTGTTTTTCGCGCGAAAGCAAACGGTCAATAGCGACTGTTTGTTTCTCGTTTGGCATCGTTACCGGGGTTTCGCGCGGCGCTGCATTCTAGGAACGAAAGGAAGCGAATTTTCTCGTTGTTGAACGATACACACGTACGTGATAAAACCTCGTGTTCACCGGTGCGTAATCCTCCGTGTATGAGGACTGAGTCTAATAATGTGGGCCAGACTGTGTAACCTTTAACCCTTTAACTGCGGGTACTTTTAGCACAGCCGATTACTCTAAACGAAAAAAAAAAATATTTTATTCAAAATCAAGTCGTAATACTAGACAATATAATTCTAATTATTTTATAAATTACAAAAAGTATACGAAGTAAAAAAGTATCATATAACAAAAAGTAAAATCTGAAAATTTATATCTCAAAGCTTCATCGCTATATTCGTCAATGTTTTGTTCAACGCGCCTTTTTCTCGAGGAAGGCTTATTCATATTAAATTCACAAAAAATATATTTTGAAAGAGATTCGAATAGCAGTCAAAGTGAAACTAAATTTTTATCTTGTATTAGGACAAAAGTAGAATAAAAAAAATAAAAGGACCGACAAAGTATGCATTTTATAATCAACGATAAGAAAAATAAAATGAAAATAAGTATATACATTTTAAATTATATTAAGTGAAGTGATATATTCTATTTTAAAAGATT